GCAGAAGTTGAAAGAGAAGGTGCAGGCTGGTAAGCCTTAGGCTCTTCCCGAAAGTAGGGGAGCCTCTGCTGATAACCCTGCCCCCTACCACAGCCCAGACCTGAACAGAGGGAGGGCCCCACAAAGCCCTTGCCCGACCTATTAATTAGTACGACGGGCCTTCCTTCCTCGCAAGATGTGGCCACCACCACCCCGCCAAATGTAGATGCTGGGTCTCAGCCAAGGCCCCCACTCTGTGGCCTCCTCCCAGCCTTGCTGATGTCACAAATGGCCTAAGGGAGGGTTAACTGGGGGAGACAGCCCCAGGGAATAGGATCCAGGTTGTGGGGTGGGTGGGTTAGAGCTCCAAGGAATGCGAGCTGGGGAAGCTTTAGTCTTCATACTATTCACAGAGGGACAAACTGGGGCTTGGAGAAGGTCAGAAGCCAGAGGGTCCGGAGCTGGTTCAAACCCAGGTCTTTAAGCTCCAACATCAGTGGTCCTTCTCCCAGGGTCTGGCTACCTGCCAGACGCCCAGGCACCCAGATGTCTAATGCCAGGGCCCGCTGGGCATAGGGAAGAGGAGGCAAGGAGACTTCACCAGGCAGGAGGGGCCCGGGGAAGTCAGGGCTTCCCCACCTGCTCCTGGAAGGCCTCTGAGGTGTCCCCTCCCAGATTCCAGGGACAGGGTGGGTCAGAAGCACCTGGCAAAGACGGGCAGAGCCAGGCTGGTGCCCTTGGGAAACTTATCTCAGGTGCCCCACAGTCGCAAAGGCTGGCTCAGGCCCTGTGCTGGGCGCTGAGCCAAGCAGCCGATGGTGTGGCTCTGTCTTCGGGGCTCTGTGGACATCTGGGGGAGCAGAGCCGGGCCAGGATGGTCGGAGGTGAGCACTCAGGGCCTGGGTCTCAAGGCAGGGGCGGAGCCGTGCCAGGCCCGGGGGGCGGGGCCAGCGGGAGGCTCACCTCACTCACCTCAGGTAGTCGCGGCGGCACAGGATGAGGTTGGCCTTGGTGTAGAGGGTGGAGCCCACCTCCCCCAGGCGGCAGTCACAGCAGGCACACTTGAGGCAGTCCTCATGCCAGTACTTGTCCAGGGCCTTCAGCAGGTAGCGGTCCTTGATCTTGCGGTTGCAGCCCGCACAGCCCTTCTGCTTGCCTTTGGGCTGCACGGAGAGCATCGGAACGCCTGTGGATGGACGGACGGCAGACAGATGGACACGGGATGGACTCTGTGGCTCCGGGCCTCAGGGCCCATCCCTCGAGGAATGGGAGCCCCCTGCTTCTCCCTGTTGCCGCCTCCAGGGCGGGGGTTCCCAGAGTGCTCACTCGCTCCCCAACAAGCTCCCTGCCTGGCCCCAGGTCCTGTCCTTTGAGCTGCATGGCACAGGCTGTTCCCCTGGCCTGCGAAGGTCCTTCCAGAAGCTGTAGGCAGACTGCAGAGCCCCGCGTCTCGCATCTGCTTGGCTGCACAGCACCCATTTAGCCCCAAGGCCCACAGTCCCCCTGAGCTGTTTCTCCCCACCCGGCCACTGCCTTCTGTGGGGCCTGCTCGACAGGAGGCCTGAAACTCTCCACAGGCAGCCGCCATCTGACTGGCTCTCCCAGTGGCCCCAAGAACTGAATCTCACAACGGGCTGGGGTCCACTAGAACTCCCAGATCTTTTTGCTACCTCAAGACTTCCTGACATAGTTTGTGCCTTGGGCCATTTTACCCTCAAAAGTCAGGCTTTTGAGCCTGACTCACGTAAAACTGTGGCGGGATCAGAAAGCAAGTGGGGCACCCCCTGACACTCCCAGGGGGGAGCGGGAGCTCTGGGTCTCCTGGAGGGAGTGTGCAGGGAGGCAGCTGGGCCTGGCCTCCTCGGGACTCTCCCCCAGGAATGCTTCTAGCTAGATTCAAACTTCCTACCTGCCCTGGCCTGAGGATGGGGAGGTTCTGAGTCTCTGAATCCTTGCTCCTCCCACCAGGACACGGGTCTCTGAGCCATGGGCCTCCTCCCAGGGCCCATGCATGCTTCTCAACGTATAAGAAAAAATACAAAGGGTAAGAATTTCAGCATGGAGTTTATTGGAAGGAGAAGCTGACCTCCCAGCAGGCAAGTGTGTGCACTCATGTACACCCCACGCACACAGGCATAGCGCGCAGTCACGTGCAGGCATGTGCACAGAAGCTCAGGCTCCTAGTCCCGGGCCTTGGGGCCACAAGGAGTGATCTCAGGGAGCAACAGTTGAGGAGGAGGTGGGGACAGAGGTCATCCTGAGTCTGGACATCGAATGTGGAGCCCTGAGGCTTGAATGTGGTAAAGACTGCTTGGAGGGAAATGCAGGGAGTCTCGGAGTCCAGACCCAGGATGAGGGCAGGTGGGGGTACCTGTAGGAGTTGCCTGAGAACCCCTCGTGAAGACAATGGGGGTGGGGGTGTGCGCCTTCCCTGACCAAGGCTCGGGAGCACGGAGGAGTCCTCTCTGGAGGGAACAGCCCACCCCTTCCTGCCTCTCTGGCTCTCCACCAAGCCCATGAAGTCTGCCCTCCTCCTGGCCCCCTCCTCTCCAAGGGACCCCAGCGCTCTCGAGGGCTCTGGGTTCAGCTCCCACTCCCTGGTATCCCTCTAATCCCTGCCTCTGCTCACTGCCCTCCGCCCAGAGTTTGAGCTGCTTCCTTCCCCTTCCCTCTTGCTGGTGTCTGACCCTTCCTCAGACGTCCGAAGACAGTCAGCCTCCAAGGGGTCTCCGTCTTAGAATCCACAGATGTCAGGTCAGAAGGGCCCTGAGAGCTCTTCCGGGCAAATGCTCCAAGGCATGATGGGGAAACTGAGGCACAGAAGGTCTGAAGGCCAGGTCTAGTGCAAGCCACTCATCATCCAGCTGGTTCGGGGGGCCCTCCCCACTGCTGTGCCTTGGGGCCTCTTCAGACCTCTCTTGGGGAGGGGGCCCTCTAGGGCCCAGGAGCAGGACAGGTGACGGCCGAGGGGAGGCAGCACTGGCCAGCAGCGGACTCTCTCCTGCCTCCTTGCTCCAGACCCCGCAGGGCCTGTTAGCTGGGACGCTTGCTGCCTAATTTCCTTAATGCAGCCCTAAAAGTTAATTGGTCTGAGAGAGTGAGGGGGCTGAGGATGACTATGTCCTCAGGCCTGCCTGTGTCCCCTCCGGCAGGGCGCAGTCTGGTCACAGAGCTGAGGCGGCCGAGGAAGCCAGCTGGGGAGCGGGCATCCCTGAGAGCTAAGGGGGCTCTGAAGGGCTCCTTCCGAGGCCAGGCCTACGGGGAGGAACCGGCTGTGAGCAAACAGGGGAGGGGTCGGGAGAGCTGGATGTGAGGAGGTCTGTGGGTCCCGGGGGGGACCACTGTCCCTGGGTCCCGTGAAGGGAGCACCCAGCCCACACAGCTAGAAGTACACACGCACCAACTTGGAAAACCTCAGGCCTGGCCTCTACGAGAGCTCCGCCAAGGCTGGTTCTCCCCTTGGTACCTGGACGGGCAGCAGGCCCGGCCCCCCTCGCCTGCCCAGGGCTCTACCCTTGTGTTATCACTAGCAGGAGGTGTGTGAGTAACTAGAATGTCCACAAGCAGGGGATACACTGGATCCACTAAGTTATACACCGAAACGAGGAGGGACCCCAGCACCAGAAGTGTCTGTCCTGCTCCGTCTTCCGTCTGGCATGGCTCCTGGCCAGGCTGGCCTTCTGAGCTCAGGCCCCAGCACGCCCGGCCGCAGAGCCCGCAGAGTTGTGGTCTGTAGCCCTAGCTGGCCCGGCCTGGAACCTACAGGACCCAGGGAGGCCGTGAGGAGCGAAGCCACAAGCTAGCCCAGGTCCCCTGCGCCCTGGCTGTGCCTGGGCTGGCTCTGGCACACTGCTGGGCTCCGGAAGGCCTGGGAACTCTGCTTCCTGGGCCCTGGAGAACTCTTAAGAAGCCACAAGGCTTCCTGCCAAACAGTGTCTGATGTCCACCGAGGCACAGACCTCCAGCGCTAGCCTGGCTAAGGAGCTCCCGGAGCATACGGGGACCTTGGGCTCTCTCTGCCTGGAAAGGCTGAGGTCCTGGGAGAAGTCTGACTCACCCCTTCCTCTTTACTGGGCACCCACACTGTGTTTGCTCTCTCACTGGGCTGATTCAGGAGACCTGAAAACACTCCTGGAAAGGCAAGGAGGTTTAAAGGGGGCATCTCTGGTCTCCTGTTCCCCAAATGGGAGTGAGATGTTCCCCAGAGGGTCAGGGCTCGCCCTCCCCGCCCTGCCTCCCCAGCCCCCACCCAGCCCGCCAGTCAGCCCTGCAGACACCTCTTCCCTCCCTCCCTCCCCTGCCTGGCTCTGGGAGCTGAGCCTTGGGCCATGCACTTTCCATTAAGGAGATAGCATCCCTTTGCTGAAGTCCATTTGGGATCCATTTTAGTGTTATCTAAAAATCAAATCTACATGGTAATCCTTTTAATGTACTCCTGACTTTAGGAAAAAAACAGCTTTGCGCTCCTTCAGGAAAGGTTTTAAAGCATTACCCAGTAATTACTACTCACCCATGAAAACACTGATATTTTACAATGGATGATGTTTGAGCCTGCCCGCACGCGCAAGCACACGCTCAGGGACACACAGGACCCTGCAAAATAACCGGTTCACATAGCCCGTGTGTTCGCCCTCCATCTCAGGGTGTGGGGAGGGGGGATGCCATTTGAGGGAGATAGGCCAAACCCCTAGCCCGCCGCTATGCCAGGCAGGCTGATAGGAGCAGGAAGCAGCCTCCCAGTCTGACTCATCTGGCTGCCAGACACTCAAACCCTCAGCTCTTTAATCTGGGGAAGAGCCAGACAGTCCCAGCGACCAGGAGGGACTGCCAGAGGTCATTTGGCTCTTCCTGCACCCACCCTCCAGCCAGGAGAGAAGCCCTCCTCTTCACTTGGACGCCCCAAGGGGTCTGCCCGGCCAGACTCACGTCCTCAGCAATCTCTGCCCAGCTACCCCAGGCCACGCTGCCCCCCATATCGGGCATGTCAAGCCCCCCTGGCTCCCACTCCCCCTGATGCCTCCCTCCAGCGTGGACAGCAGGCTGAGCCCAGCTGGGGAGCACTCCTGCCTCGAACAAGCTCCTCCAAAGCCAGTCCTCCACCCGAGAATGCCCACCCCACCCACCCCCGGTCACTCCCAGCTATGCCCTGCGCCACTGCGGCCCCCACTGGCTGCTCCAGCTGGCATCCCGAGGTCCGGGGCCCCCTCCCACGTGCCATTTTGTCCTGCTTGGCACCTCGGGATCTGGTGCCTGCAGAATCCTGGAATAATATCCCTCTCCATCCTGCAAATGGACCTGGTCGGCTTCTATCCCGGCACCTGACCTCCACCACGGCCCCAGGAAGAAATCCCTTGTCCTACCCATCCCACTCTCCACCCAAACTCAGAGTCAGCAGTGGGGGTGAGGCGCAGGGCCCGGAGCTTGAACTCCCAGAGCCTGCTTTCCAGCCTGAGCGCTGTCCCAAGGAGCTGGAGGGCCTGGCGCAAATCCCTCATCTTTCTGACTTGCTTCTGTGAAATGGGAGCCAAAAAGGTCTCTTTTCACACAGATGGTGGTGAGGACAGAACAAGGTCATGCTTATGAAGCCACAGCCGAGTCTGGCTTCCAGGGGGGACTGACACGGGGACTGGGGACTATTATTAATATGCATCCCAGGATGCCCTCCCCCTGTTCTGACCCTTGTTTCCTTTTTCCTGTAACTTTTTATCTTGACACAATTTCAAACCTTCAGAGAAGTTGCAAAATAGAAAGAATTCCTGTACACCTTTTGCCTAGATTCCCTAAATAGGAACACTTTACCATATTTGCTTTATCCTTCTCTATACATCTACCTATAATTTTGTTCCTGAGTCATTTGTGAGTTGGGTTCAGACAGGAAGGCTTACATTCCTAAATACTTTGATGTGTATTTCCTAAAAACAAGGACATTCTCTCACTTAGCCACAGTACAATTAACACCACCAGGAAATTATCATTGATCTAACACTATTACCTGCAGACTTCATTCAGATCTGACCAATTCCCCCAATAAAACCCTAATGGCAAAATAACATTCTGGATCATGCACTGCATTCACTTGTCAAGTTTAGTCTACTTAAATCTGGAAGAATTCCTAAGCCTCTCTTTGTGTTTCAAGACACCAGCATTTTTGAAGGATACAGGCCAGTTCAATTTGGGTTTGTGACA